AAACCTCGGAAAAACTGGACTGGACTGCGCTGGAGGGTTCCAGCAGGAGTGGGTCCCTTGACTTGGTGGTGACTCATGGCGGTTAAATTTAACTGCACTCCCTGTCGACCATCATCATCAACATCATTGGTTTCTTAATTAATGGCAAGCCGATGGAGCCGCTGTTAACTGTTTTGTTTTGCGAGTATTTTTACTTTTTGCACCGCCAGGTCGCCGTTATGTAAAGCTGGCGAAGATGAGAAGATGCAGGCGGCTTAAGGGCCGCATACCGAGCAACCTACCAGCAACTGCTCTGCCGCCTGTTATTCAATAAGCCATCCAAAGGTGGCCAATGGAGCCAAACCCGTAATTCGAAAGACGAAACGCGAAAATCGGTGCAAAAAGAGCAGCAAAACGGAGCATGTTTGCGGATATGAAACGCTGGCGACAACTTGCAGGCACAGATTCCAAAACAGCCTGTGACGAATCGAGGGTACCAACAGGAAACTGTCAATATTTACTTCGAAAAACAAACGATGCACTCGGCTGGATGGAAGACAATGGACTTTGCTTGCAAAATTCAAAGAGCTTAAGCAAATATGTTTTAAAGAGTTTTACATTTTATCCAGAAAGGTTAAGCTACTTAAATATTAAAAAAAAAATGATTTTTTGAGAGAAAAGTAAAGCTTTGGTTAACTTTATTGATTAAATCAATATGGAAAATATTTGAAGTATTTCCAATCCAATCTTATCTTTACATTTTAAAGCTAATAATAAATCTCAAGCATATTTAGATTAATATCTTGCTTTCATTAGGTATGTATGCTTCTCTTCATCTCTAAGTTTCAAACTTGATAACAATATAAACATTTTATTTTATTTTAAGGTGTATTTTATTATATGTGTTATTTTATTTATATATATTTAAAAAGGACTAATCCCTATGAATCCATAGGTTTAAAAGTCAACCTACTATCTTTAGGGGAAGATGTTCTTCACTGCAGCAATATTGAACAAATAATAGTTTTAAGATTTATATATTGCATATTTATCAACACATTAATGAACATTGACAACATTCTTTCCAGATCTCCCTAGAACGTATAATGTTCTCTGATCTGTTAGCTGAAATGTTAATAGCCTTCGTCATATACTTACCAAGATCAAGTGATCATTGCTCTCACACTTGGCTCGTAAGTCAAGTATGTTTTCAATGCAATCTCCATCTTGGCTTTTCACCTGAACGACAGAATGGACAGCGGACAGCGGACAGCGGACAGCGGACAGCTGCATAAAAAAGGCCCCGAGCAATGTCAATTAAGTGCTATTCGCGTTCGATCTAGAAGAAATCGGTTGGTGGCGTGTTAATGCAATTTATTCGAGTATTTCCAGTATAGTATTGTGCATAGTTATTTCCTGAACTTGGGAACGGGTTCGTTTTCGAGTTTGTGTTGGTGTCGCAACAGAGAACATAGTACACATACAAGATACGTCAAGTGAGACTTCAGAAACATGGCCAACATGGCGTATGAGGGATTTTTTTGCAGTGGAAAATTCTTGGAATCGCATCGGATCACAATTAAAATTTTAATTGCGATTGACCAATTCGAGTCCAGCTGGAGTGGCGGCGGTGAAGGCTGCCGCTTGGCACGATGCACGAAGATGCTGCAAAAAGCGGTTCACCTTCCCCAGCGCGAAATGCCTGGTTGCAGCATTTTCTTAGTTACAATTAATTTCAGCGCGCCGGTGATATAATCCCTCAACCGCATCACTTCGAAAGCCAACACAAAAACACTGATTATTGTTATTACTCGGCGTCCGCTTCTTGCCGTTTAATCAACTGTTAAAACTGGTTTTTCAATTAGAGTGAAAATGCTGATGATATGATGGCAATGGCACCCCAAAGCGATGACCAGATGAAGAGTGAAAATCGTTTTATTTTATCATCTTTTTTCCATTGGTCTTACGGATTTACATAATTTAGTTGCCCTCGATTTTGCCTCGATATGTAGTTGTGGCCGCCGCCGTTGTGATTGGTGTTGCCTTTGATTTGATTTAAATTTGTAAGCGTTTTAACCTTTTTCGCAGCTGTTCGTTCGTGGCACTGGAAAGGTCGACGCGTCGATGCCAGTTGGCCGAGTGAATGACACACTTTTGATTTGAAAAGAGCCGAAAGCCGAAAGAGCTTTAGTCAAATCAGCAACGCCCATGGGCTTTTCCATAGTCCTTCGGCCAATTAACGCGAATTATTTTGCATACGAAATGAAAAGGCAAGCGCCAAGCTCTGGCCATCTGTCTGCATCTGTGATTCGCAAGAAACCTGTCATTAGTTTCATACTTCACTCAACTAGAAATTGTAAGTTATGACCAGTTCGATCTCTGTTCATTTAAATGCATAGAAAGTTGTAATATAAGGAATATCTTTAAGAACAATGTAAGATCATTAAAAACGAATGCAAGGTGTAATTGAGCACAGCTCGATGACAGAGAACTTGCTATATTCTAGAAAAAAATTATATTAGATATGTCAAACCAAACTCTAAAGTTGTGAATACACAATTATTTCAATTGACAGTAAAGCCAAGAGGTCAGGTCCCTCTCAGGTCATCAGTTGAATATTAAATTTATTGTTAGTGTTATGGTTGATCTTGTAAAGTTAACCTTTTTGTTGTTTTCATAAAAAATGGTACTCAAACAGCCTGTGAACAAGGGAGTGATTTAGGGGGGAAAGAGAAATTGCTTTTTGAGAAAAGCAAATGAAACGGAATCGTTAATGAAGGAAATGATGGTCAAGACAATAAACCGAAGTCGAAGACGAAGTCGGAGTTGAAGATGAGCCTGTAAACTGTAAAAGAAATGCATAACCATAAAAAAAAATACCAAAACACGAGCTGGGTTGCGTAACCGCGATCCACCCTGTCCCTCCTCCTATATCTCGCTATATCTTCAGCTCCGATCCGATCCGCCGGGGAGCGTTTAATTTATGGCAAGCCAAGAGCATCGAAGGCCTGCAGCAAATAGCGGACTTTCTTTTTAGTCAGTCCCCAGCATATTGGAGCCGATGGGTGCGAGTGTGTTTGCCTTTGACTTTCAATTTTCTTTTCATTTCCATTTCCATTCCCATTTGAAAAACTCATCAGCTGCGATCTGCTTTTGGTCTCCTTCATCATTATGCAATTACGGTTTGCCGAGCCGTCGCGACGCTGTCTTGAACTCCTCACAAATGGCCTGTCAAAATTGGCAATGTCTTCTGCTGATCACCTGACAGCTGCACCAAGGCGAGAGACCACATCATATCAGACACCTGGAAGCTGCTGGCCTCACCTTGCCGCATTGACGTCAGCCGAATGGGCAATATCTTACACACATACTCCACCGCGATAAGTTGCGGCTGCCAGAACAAGGAAGCATATTCGAGAATCAAGTATCCGTCGACGGTGAACAGTGGGCTCAGACCCCGCAAAGCGTGGGCGAGTCTCTGCTATTAGATGCCCAACCGAATCCACATAGTTGGTGCCAGTCAGAAGCGTTAAAAATAACATATGCAGCACGTTAGGTGGTTACCAACGGGATAATATAATTAATAGCCCAGTTCCACTAGCTTTCGATCTCATTCTAAACGAAACTGGTTATTCCGTGTTACTCTATATTTAAGTGTGGTTATGCGCTCGCAAACAGCATTAATTTAATGTTATGCATAATTTGCAAGCTGACAAATTTTGAGTGAAATATTATTTCCAAACAGATAAATACAGATAAGCAGCTTAAATACATAATGAATTATAATACTTTGACTTCTACAAACGTGTTGAATTTTAAAACTAAATATTTAAGTGAAGTTATCATTCGATTTTATTATTCAAACCATTTGAAAATACTCTTTCTAGATAAACTAGAATATCATGGGATGCACATTTGCCACACTTTCAAATGAACTTTGGCCCACTGTACCGACTGCGCCTACCTGCCTGCGTTTGTCGTCTCGGGTGCAATTTATGCAAATCGCCCACTTTGCAACTAGTTCACTTACCTCGGCTCGCAAAAGTAAAAGTTTGCTCAAGTTACACTCGCACACACACTGGCACACACACACACCTGAGCGGAGGGAACTCGTTTTTTGGGCCACATTTGGAGCCGCGGAGAGCCGCTTACCTTGATTGGTGATAAAACTTATTTATGCATCGAATTCGTACAGAAAGATACATATGTATGTTATGTACATAAATACCACAAATCCGTATTTATTTATTTGGGCTGCAAAATGTGTAAGGCATATAAATATTATATGTTATATACACACGTATGTATGGGCCTGGTATTTCCAGCCGAAAATTTGCAATGCTTAAAATTAATTAGCAGCTTTTTGCGATTTGTTTGGGATTGCGCAAAGAGCTCGGGGCCCAGTCAGGCCGAACCAAATCGAATCGATCCGATCGGATCCAAAACAACAAAAAACCAAGCCCAAGAAGAACCTGTTTTGCCATCTCCACGGCGACATCAAGAGCCCAAACTGCCTCTGCATTGATTTGTGCGCATACAAATTATAAAATCTCGATGCCTTTTATATTGCCTTTGGGTCCGTATAATATAGACTAATATATCTAATTCTAGACCGGATCGGTGCTAGGTGGCCAAAGAAAGAAACCAGTCTCGGCATGGGCGAAATTTACATATGAAATGCACACGGCGGCCGGGGCTTCAACTGAAATCGAAACTGAACACCAAAAACGCGTTATTGTTATTCAAATTCGTGTCTTATTTTTTACCGTCGAATAATGAATAACTGGTTAGTAAGTCAGTGGGTAGATAGCATACAAATTTGGGGCTGTACGTTTCTCTCTTTTGCTTTTTTACTTGCTTTCTTGGAAATCATATTTCGGCTGCTGGCCAAGTAGATAATAGCTTTATGCCTTTGTGCATTGTTTTTGGCTGGAACAAAGGAGGAGCGATTCAGAAATCCATTATTTGTTTTGTTTTTTGATTTTGATATTTTTTTCAAATTTTTTGTGGTTTTTCGTTTTTATTTTTTCGTTTTTATCATTTAAATATACACATACAAGTTAACGTAAAACTACAAAAAGAGCGTAAACACAAGTGTGGATGTTGTGGCTTGCAGTTTTGAAAATCTTCTGTGGGTTTCTTTTCGAATTTTCATGTTGTAAATTAACGTAGCCGTAACACAGCAAGGACTTGCCGAAGGGACGGTGGTCATATCCTGGCGTCCCGAAGTCAGTCAAAAAAAGTATACTCGTCCAAGTCTTGCAGAAAATTCAGATTTGCGGATCGATAGTCGATCGATCGATTGGTTGTGTTGGATTAGACCTGGCAGTTTGGTGAGAGGTGTGGCTGAGACTGAGACTGAGACTGGGGGCTGGGGCTGGGGCTGAGGGATTGGGTGTGCGCTTGGGTGGGGGCTAACCGCTGACTTAGAAGAAACCATCGCCAGTGGGATCGTTGACCCATGGGTAGTTATTGGGGCACCGCACGCAGGTCTGCAGGTTGATGGTCTCCCCGGGAACCTCCTTGGAGGTGAGCTTGCAGGTGTTGGGCACCCAGCAGGCGGGCTTGCCCTCGACCACGCACTTCTCCCTCCAGGGCTCGAAGTTCTTCACCTCGCTGATGGTGCGCGGGTTCTGCATCCACTGGATCACCTGCGTCATGGTCACGAAGTAGACGTCGTTGTGGTTGGCCAGGATCTCGTCGATCCAGTACAGGAAGGCGTCGAGGAACTCGGGGTTGTTCTTCAGCCAGGCGGCGTGGAAGTACAGGCCCAGGGGGGCACGGTTCTGGTCGTAGTGGCGGTCGAAGTTGTGGTTCAGGAAGTTGTAGAACTGGTCACCGGTCAGGATGTTCGAGCAGGAGTCCACCATGGCGCAGCCGGGCAGGTACTCGTCATTGGCGGGATCCTCGCGACGATCCAGCTCGTTCATCACCATCTCCCAGACGGCGTGGGAGCGCGTGGGGCAGCTCTGCAGGTTGCCGTGGCAGCGGTGGGGCATGCGGAAGTACATGGTGTAGGGCCACAGTGGGGGATTCGACAGCGGAGCAGTGATGGTGGAATCGTACAGGAAGGCCTGCTCCTCCATCATGGTGAACTGGTTGTTGCCACCCACCCGCAAGTAGGGTGCGCGCACACCCACCACCGAGTTGTCCGTGATGTTGGCGTACTTCTCGGTGATGATCCTCATGCCGGCCATCTCCTTGGCCCAGTCGTCGACGGTGGCGTTCGACCAGAAGCGCTCCTCGTCGTTGTGCGTGATCGAGTGCACGGCGATCTCGTGACCCTTGCGGGCCGTCTCCTGCACCGCCGAGTAGTTGGTGTACTTGTGGGAGATGAAGTAGGTGGCCTTGATGTCGCACCCGTTGGGGTTCTTGCGGTTCTTGAACATCTCCTTGTACAGCTCAATGTTGTTGTTGTTGATGGCGTCGTCGAAGGTGATGGTGATCATCATGGGCACATCCTTGGCTGGCAGGTCGCCGGGAATGGCAGTGCCGTCCTCCGAGCAGAAGCAGTCAGGCAGGACGCACACGGCGGGATCGCAGGGCGGGGCGCGATTGGGATCGTTGTCAATATCTGTGAGGGAAAAACATAGAAAATAGGGATTTAGGGTTAGGAAATCTTAGAAATTCTACGGACTACAGCAAAGTAAAGAAAATATGCAGATACAAAGTAAATATTATAGCTAAATCGAACTGATATCTATTCATCAATAAGTAGTTTCTTTAAATCTCTATTCTGCGTAATCATACATAATTCGAATCTTGACAGCCTATATTTAATATGTCCAATGGTTAGTTTGTTCTTATGTCTCGGAGACACTGTAAATTTAACCCATGTCTGGCAGCTTTTCCGATAAAATCCATGGCTTACACCGGGACCTGCCTCGCCTTTATTGATTATTGATGATTTGTATTCTGCCTGCGTTCGTTCGATTAGCCGGCAAAAGTTCACTCAACTTTTCATATAAATATTTAAACAATTAGCTAACTGTACAGTGGAACTTTGGGCGAGGGGAAAAACGAAGGGGTTAGTTCAATGAACCGACACGATCTGGAAAAGCAATCAAGAGAGGTGGGAAAACCGAAACGCAAAGTGAATGGAAAATGTCTACACAATCTACAAGTCAGTTTTTTATGTATATATGTATCTATATATTTTTCCTTCATTATTATCTTGGATTTTCGTTGGATTTGCTATTGGTGTTTTCTCGGCATTTTGTTTGAGCAATTTTCAATTGTTGTTAATCAAGCGAGCCTGCTTGGAAATGCAGGGAGCGTTCGCCTATTAGCCACCTGAGAAGCCGCCCAGGTCCCTCCAAAGCAACGAGGTGTTGGCCATTCATTTATCGGCCATATGCAAATGATGGCTGTTTGCTTTGGCCAGAGTAAAATTGGTAAGCCTTGCACTTGCCGGCGATCAATTGCGAAAGTTTTCAAAGAAATCTGCCGTAATTATATTTCCCGTCTCTCATTTGGCATTTGGTTTTGGCCAAAGTGAAATGGCGGACAAAGTGTTTTGTCGGGCACAAGTTGTTGAATTTTTTGCCGGCTCGCTTGTCTTTTTGTTGACCTTTTTGTGTCTTGTCTCCGCTTTCTTTCTCCTTTTTTATACACACATTTATTTGCCAATAATCTGTCGTTAAAGCCGAGTGTTATGTCATCCCGAACCGGTTGAGTGTTCGGTCGGCATTCACTGCTTTCCAGATTCCTGGCATTATTTATTTTGTAGGGCTCGATCTGCTTTTTGGCCGTTTATTTATTTTCTGTGTGTTGGGGATACAAATATGTAAGCCACCGAAGAGGATATAGCCTCTTGGCCTATTCTCGGTTGATGAAGTCAGACCGACGACAACAGAAGGTGATAAATAATTGCGGGGAATTTTGTTTATTTGCCAATGTTGTGGGATCTAGTCTTATTTCTGGGAACTCATAAGGTTAATTGGTAGTCAAATGTCATAAATTTATCTGTGAAATATTAATCATTAAATAGCTAATTAAAATATTTTAAGTCTGACAACAGATTTTTAATTATTGTTATGCATTATCTATGATTTTTCTATCTTTAAGGAGTTAGAATTCAAGTCGAAATATATATTTGTAACCGTAACATTCTTTCGCAGGTTAATATACGATATTATGAGTTTTTTAGAGACATTGCCCAATAAAAATCCTGCTCTGGTTACCAACACTTTCGGTACCTTCCTCATTACTTTGTCGCTGCCATCGAAAACTACGATGTATGACCATTTAATCGCCTTTTCAAATCACCTGCCATTTACTTTGGCTCCCGGAGACGTGCGCTTCCTTGTTTTGCCCTGCATTAAGTGGGCTAAACTTGGGCTGGTGTTATTCAATTGTTTACGATCATGATGCTTAATGCTCCGCTGAGCATTTCAAGAGTTGCCGCTGCCCCAGGCAGAAGTGCAAATTTTCGCATTTAACCATTGTGATTGGCAATCGCGAGGCGCGGATCGCGGATCGTAAATCGCAAAAATCACAGCTGGGATCTACCAGAAGCGAGGTTATAGAAGAGGTCTGATGGCTTGATTTATTTGGCATTTAATTAGCCAGTTAAGGCGCCGGCCTCTTGGGAAATGTCGGTGAATTATGAGCGCAGATTTGTACTTAAATTGCCGAGTAAGTACTAACCGCTTGTGTTAGTTATTAGCATTATTATAAATTAGTTGCGGTTTTTACGCGGGCTGCTGTTCCCCCCATTTGGTGTTATTATTGTTATTATTATTATTTTGTATTTTTTGTATGACTCTGTTATTTCTACCCTGCTTTTGGCTCACTTTTTTGCGGCTTTGCAATTGCTAAAAATACACAATGCAAACACAGCGAATGGTCTTTTAAGCCGCTTATGTAAGGCTAATTTACACATGAATCGACTATGAACCACCTATGGAGAGGCATTTTGTTTTGCTTCGATTTGATTTCTATTAAGTCCAAGGTTAGCGCTCTTACGATGTTGTTAATTAATGGTTTAATATTTTTCCACATGCTTTATCTCTCCTTTAGTGCCACCACTGAGCTGGCTGCGTGTAGTGTCTGACATTTTGATTCGATTTCACACTTGACATTTCCACCCGAAAGCAGAGATCCGATCCCCGGAGAATGGGGTTCGGCTCGGAGTCGCATCGAGTTGACTCCGGGCTCTAAGGGCTCTACGGAACCGGTCTGTGTCTGTGCAACAACGGACTCGGGTCCGTTGCACGTAGGCGCCATTGGAATCCCCAAAGCCCCTCCGAAAAGTCAAACAAAAGAAGCAGAGACACTTGTGTGTCTTATTGTCAGAGTTTTCGAGAGCCAAACTCGGAGTTCGGAGTGTCTTAAATGCCGCAAGCCGGTTTTAAGGTGCGACTGGAATAACTGAAAGAAATTTGAATTGGCGCTCGGCCAAAGATAAACAGTGCCACATCAGGTATTGGGTACACCCACACGGTGAGAAATGTATGATTCTGATTACCTCTTTAAATATACATAAAAGGTTATTCCTGTCCGGTTCGGCTTGATTTTAATAAGAAATAATTGCCAAGTTTTGGGATCATTAAATCAATGAAACGGGAGTCCTTATTATACACACAAAACTGTTTCAAATAAGTTTAATATTTAAATTTGATCGTCAGCTAAGTTAAATATCACTTTGGAGAATTTAAACGAATACCAAACTAATTTCGATTTCTATTTTATAATATGAACACCAAAAAATTGTTTTATATTTAAGCCCTGATGATAAAATCAACGTCATACACAGTACCATTTAGGCCTGTCTATAAACCTTTGAGCCACTCGAAGACTTATGGGTTTACGGCTGATGGAGTAATGACACTTGGCCGCGGGCTTTTGGAAAAGCCAATCCTATGTGCAACAATCGGCGGCGGCTTACTTCTGTACACGATTCGTGCTGAATCACTGTGAATCATTGTTGTCAAATGTCAAATGTAATGGAAAAGTGCTCCACAAAAGTTGAAAGAGTGGATCATTGTGCTTATATTTTGAGTTCGGCTTTATCATAAATTATTTGTGGTAATTCCACTGGGTTTATCCCTGCTGGTAATAGTTGTCTTAAAGTCACTTAATGATTTTAATTTACTTAAATTTAGGTTGCGGTGAGATGGCATTTATCAAGCGTGACTTGACAGATATTTATGACATTCATTACGCCCAAACTGACTTTAATATGACTAATATCTATAAATAAAATAATTGAATTATATAATTTTTGCGCTGCGGTTTTGCTACCCCTATTCCTATTATTTTTATTAAAAGGTTTTTTTGTTCAAATCATTTAAATCGTTCCTTCTAGACCTAAATAAAGCACTAATAATGAGGGGTCGGGCTAAGCTTAAGTTTTAATGTTGACTTTTATAATTTTAAGTAATTAATTAATTAGCAATAAGTGCACTTACCACAGGTGTTCTCGTCGGATCCGTCTGAGCAATCCTTATCACCATTGCAGAAGAGACCGCGCTCAATGCAGTTTCCATCGCCGCAGGCGAGGAAGCCATCCTGGCACAAGGGCTCGTCCGTGTGGAGCAGAGGCTTCACACGACGCTCCTTGTTCTTGGACTTGCAGTTCTTCACCGACTCCTTCCAGTCGCAAGTCTGCTTCTCAATGTCGAAGTACAGACCGGCAGGGCAGCGAATGGCTTGCAGGCCCTATTGAAATTGGAAGAAAAAGGAATTGACGGGTTTAGTCTACATATTTATTTGTTATATATTGTAAATATGCAAATTAAAGCATTTTGGAACTATGTGCTATGTTTTATAGATTATAAATGTTTAAACCCTTTAGAAATAGGCTACCATTTGCATGTGATTAATGTTTTTAAATGTTTATTACTTCACTAATTACAAGACTTTAAATTTTATGCAGTCTTGTATTTAATCAAGTTAATTTGCTTAATTAGATACTTTAATAATTATAATAACTAAAAGGTTAGCTCACCGATGAGGTACACTGGATGACATCGCGACAGTTGTCGCCTTCGCCGGCCACCAGGCGGAACCATTCGCCGGCGTCCTTGTCCTTGCAGAGCTCCTTCTCGAAGGACTCCTCCTTCTTGGCCTCCTCGGTGGTGGCCTGTCGCTTGTATCGCAGCAGCGGGTCGCTGGCATTGGCTGCAAAACCGAATGGAAAGAAATGGTTCAGTTGCAGGTAGCTGTTGCAAAACCGGAAGAATTTTCACAGCAAATGTGGGTTGGGTCCATGTCGCCACGGCTGCCACTTCCGGCTTACAAAAGCACAGATACGCGCGGATCTGTGCGGCTATATTGGTGCATATGCTCGTGGACATGGCATGCGGTCGGGCTGGTTGTGCTGGCCGAGGAAAACACGTTTGCCATTATGAAATACGATGTCACCAGAGAACCGAGCAGAAACAGAAATATATACACGGCGGATGCGAAACACAGATAGCATTCCGAAACTCGTTGCGCCTGCGCGCTATAACTTTGACATTTTGCATCTCGTTGGCAACAGCGGACAGCTAATGGCCAGCATCTAGCTTTCAATTGGAGATTCGGTGCCCGTTGTCGAGGGAGTTGCCATATTTGCATAACCGTCGAGTGACAGCGCCAGCAACGAGCCAGTATTTATGTTGAGACTAATCATGATCGATGGCCTGTCAAAGTCAAGTCGCGGCATCGGATCGAATCGGATTGGATCAGAAAACTGCATTCACGGCACTCAAATGTCAACCGGAATGGGGTTTCTCTTCGGCTCAAGGTACTCAAGCCGTACTCGTACGGGTACTTCTCCCTTTTAAAATGAAAGTTGTTTCCTCAGCTAGTTGCACCTGGCTCGTCCTTTTTTTGCATAACCAAGGTTACCGCAACGCATTCATGCCTCGAAAACGGCTTTTCAATTTCGTTTTGATTTTCCTCTTTGTTTTTTGCTACCTTATTTCGCTTTTATTTCTTTGTTATTTTTTATTCGTCTGAAGGCCGAACGAGTTGAGTTTTAATTGATGTCTTGACAACTTCCGCCAGCCAAATGCAAATTGCAGGCTCCATAATTAAAACTTAAGCTAAAACTATGCCAAGAGGCATGAAGTATACGTTTGCTGTGGAGGAAGACCTTACCTTCGTTAAAGGCCGCCAAAGCCAGAACGGCGAAAACCACAAATAGTTTCGCCATCGTAGGATCGACACGGGATCTGTTTAGTATATTCACCGCTTTAAGTCTCTGTTTTTCTTTTTTTGGCAACACACTGTCTTTGGAAAGAAACACTTGACGTTTGACGTTGGACGTTGGACAACGGAGAGCTAGTTTTGTCCTTCCGATCGCTATCAAAGCTCCATTTACACTGTTTGCTACGAAGCCGCGCACAATTTCTCGAACCCCTCTCTGACACCAAAGCCCCAGACGAAGTCAGACTTGCTTCTTTTATTACACGGCGGCGGCGACGGCTCTTTCGAGCGCCTGTGGTGAGTTTTGAAAGCTTTCCGCCGCCAGGGGTAACCCCGAATGCGATCCACGCGGCCGCGAGAAAAGCTCCCGCAGAGCGCTGATCCACCGATCGCTCTGATCCCCGATCACTGGTCCACTGCCTAGCCCGGCTTTTGGCTTGGTTGCACAAGTCTTTGGCTTTGGCTCTGGCTCTGGCTCTGGCTCGAAATCGTGATCGGATCGTAGCCGGAAAGAAGAGAGGAGAAAAGATCGACACTTATTGGAATAATGAAGACTGCCAGATGAGAAAGGCTACCGGAATACCGGAATTAATAGTGAAAAGTTTAACTATTTCCATTTTGCAAATGATATTCTTTGCCATAATATCGCGGGTGTAATAATCCAGAAGGTTTGCGGAGCCTCTCTACTGCCGCCCACAGCCTGGGACTCGAGTGTTGGATGTATGCCAGTCTAACACTCTGTCTGGGCGTGCCCACACAGTCGTAAAAAATGTATTTTTAATTATACATACATAATACATACCTGCATACCATGGTTATGCGCTTTTGAGTTGGCTTTTTATTTGGGAATCTTTCAAGTTGAGGGTACACCCTTTGTTTGCAACCTTCTCTGCATGCTGCAACAGTGCGTATGATTAATATCAAATAATAGGTAGTTTAATCTTAAGCAGACTCAAGAGAAGTCGTTTTTTCTTTAATTTAACTTAACTAATTTAATTAATAATTTAAAGCAAGTTTATAAATGAAAGTTAAAGACTTGATTAGCGCAGCACAGAGTCTATCGATTTTATATTCTCTTACACTATACTAAAACAAATTTGAAAGTAAATTTTTCAATTTATTTAAATAAATTGGATAAAAATAATTGAATACAAAAGTCTTATTAAACCCAGTATTTAATTTGAAATATTTTCTGTTTCAGATATATACTATATTGAACTCTGCAAACATATACAAACATAATAATTTATTAGATAAAACAATTAACAGAGTATCCCATGTTCGGTTCGAAACAGAAACACCGAAGGAAAGATACATCTTTCCCATTTTATTTTGATGGCTAAGTAGCGCCCCCCTGACGTCTGATCGTTCCAATTTAAAAGCTGTTATTTTTTTCCGGCTCGACCTTGATCATTTTAAAGCCAAATTAAAGCCATTTATGGCCCACAGAGTGATACGCCGTGGCGCGACGACTGCTAACTGACAGAGAGGCGTCTTAAGGCGTGACGAACTGCCGCCAACTTGAGCGTTTTTCTGCTTTTTTGGCCAGTCCACCGGCTTCAGTTGTGGCTTCAGCTCTAAAGTGTGCCAAAGTGCTTTGCCGTTGGACGAGAGACCTTTCTGAGTTGTCATTGTCTATTTTTTGCCACTCTTGACATTTGCATCTGCTGCTTCTTGCTTCTGGCCTGGGCTCTCGGCTTGAATTTCCAATTAAGATTAAGTAAAATAAGTCTTTGGCTTGAACAGTTTCCGCTTCAACGCAAACGCACAACATCTGCCTGACGAAATTTACGTCAATTGGAGAACCAGTTTTCCACTTCATTAAAATGTGATCAGCTCGTTTCGGCGGATTCTTGCAAAATTTTTGATGAAATTCATGCTAAAAACCGCAAAAAACGAATGGGGTAAATTAATAAATTTGCAATTATTGGGGAACCGCTAACTTAAGTTCCTTTCCCTTTTTATGGAGAGTATACGTGTTCATTCAAGGAAAGGGAAATGCGTTTGATATCATATTTTGTTGTTGTTTATTATATATAAATTAATGCCAACCGATAGATATTGATAGATGTGAGATTACATATGTAATAGGTAGAGGGAGGTGTCTCCGGCCCCAGGCGAGTCGATTTAACCATTTCTTCCTGTCTGTTTTTAATTTAATCCACAAAATCCACAAATAAATTAAAAATAGTTCAAGTGCGAAAAGAGGTATCAAAATACCATTGTAAAAATATACTACTTTCTCTCTTTTTTATATATTCTTAAAAAATGTTTCATACCTAAGGTACTTCTAAGGTACTAATTCTTCGAGACAAAAGATCATGGCCGTTGCTTCAAGAAGCACAGTGTGAAGCAGGAAATATTTGATATGGATGTATTTATTTCAATTGTATTTTTGTGTATAAAATATAATATAATATAAATAACAATATAAATAAGAAATAAAATAATGTATACCCAGCATTGTTTCAATGAGAATGTAAAATTCTTTGTTGATTTCTTTTGATTTCTATAAACAGTTTATTGGTTTTGCGGTTTTTTGGTTATATTCATACAAACTTTTAATTGTACACATAAAATAAATTCACCTAACGTATTCTAGGCTAAGGCTTCTTCTGTATCAATATTTTATATATTTACTTGCTGTGACTGACTCATAGTTAAGATTTGTACGTCAACTCGTTTCGGATGCATTTGATCTCATGGAAGATCTTGATCGATTTCCCTGGCAAAATATATACATACATCTTCCCTATTATAAGTTCTATTGTTCTCTGATTCTGCTCCCGCCTTATATCACACACTTAATATCTTTCGTCACAAATGCTGGCCATCTTTTCAGGCGCAATTCTCTGGTCTTCCAAGCATTTTCCGGTTCTCACTTTCCCAGAATGTAATATTTTCCGTATATTTATCAAAGCATTGATGAATTAGGTAGTCAATTCAAGGCGCAATATAAACAATGTGAAAGTGAAAAGCGTCAAAAGCCCGCGAATTGTTGTGATCTAAGCAGATGCTTTTGGAATTTCTCATAGGTACGTACATACGTCCACTGTGGGGTTGCTCGGTTCACGTGCTTTGGCAAACTAACAAACATTAATACAAAAAGCTAACAACATGTTCGACGACTACACACACATAAAGCTGACGAAAAAACAAAACAAAAACAGAACGACCTGTAGTTAACCAATTACTTCATAATACTTGAGAGGCTGGTGTAGCCGCTATTAGCCTGGACCGGATCCTGCTCAGGCCTGCAGCGTCGACAGCAGCAGCAAATGTTCCTCATGACATCGACGAAGCTGGTTTGATCAAAGTCATCCAGGTCGGTCATAAAGACCCCGGAACTAATATCCTCCGCCGTGCGGGTGCCAACAAACGCCTTTAGGTCGGTGGTGGGAAAGCCGTCCTTGTAATACGCCTTAATGGTGTCGTAGGCATCCATGATAACTGCAATGAACAGCGACAGCACCACGTAAATGTACAGAGATATGAACGAGTACAAGTATATCTGGCAGAACCACCAGAGCCAGGTGGCCTTGCTGGACAGTGTGGCGAAGGTGGCGAACATATCGTCGCCGTTGATGAGGGCGAACAAACATTCCGACGTCGTGGCCAACGAACGAAACTTCATATGGTATGGTCCCAGAATCAGCCAGCCGCAGAAAACGAATCCAGCGTAGATCAACAGGGCAGCGATAAGGAATCTCAGAATCTTAGGTGCCGCCTTCTTCAGCGTCAGTATCACGACATTGTAGGTTTTAAAGAAGCCCAGGTAGCGCAATACTCCAAACCAAACCAGTAGATTACCGATGCCCAGGAAGAGCGAACAGGTATCCCATTGGTCTACCACCATGTACCTTCCCTCGATCTGCTCTTTCAAAGCGGATCCAATGATCAGGAGGACGTCGTTGAAAATGATCATGATGTACCTAGTATACAGATCCAGTATTAGCGATATTGTTTTGATTTACTTAATGCAGTCTCATCTTACCAAAAGTTCACAAACTCAAGGCGACCATCGAAGCTCAGCTCCTTGCCGAAATGCGACCGGAAGAAGTTGACGGTTGTACATCTCAGTAGATAAGCTCTCCACAAGGCTCGTGTACAGAGCGCAAAGGACAGTGCGCAGGTTAGTAGGACAAATATATTGAGGACGCTGCGCAGCATGGAATCAAAGTTCGCCTCCGAAATGAAATCGGTGGCGCCGTGGCACTTTAATCGCGTCGCCTCCGCATCCAGCGAGAGCAGCATCTGACCATCATGGTCTCGGTTATTGAACATTATGGCTATGTCGAACCGAAAGCAATCCGGAGCTGAGAGTGGTCCACCGTTAGCCTTGAAATTCACTGTCTTAATCTTGAACGTCAACTGAGCGGAGACGAGCGATGCGAAATTGACCTCCACGCCGCGCTGCCGTAGATAATTCTCCACCCCAATTGAGGTAACGTTCGGAGGCAGAGATTCGCACACTTCGTCGATATGCGGATCAAAGATGTATGACTCGTTGAACCCGAATATAGTGCCCTCCCGATAATTCTGCAGACACAGCTTCAGGGGCGGCATCGTGTTGTTGGGCGTTGGGTAGTCATACGGTCCTATCGATCGGCTAACATTACCATACCCATCGACCGCATACTGCACGGTATCGAAGAATTCCGATTTCAGGTAGAGAGCGAAGGGACCTACCGCCGGCGGATAGCTCTCTACCTCGCGGGACGAATCCCAGCCCCGCAGGAACAGGTGCGAGAAGGCAAATCGGTTATCACCCGTATAGTTAATGTGATTATAGCGCGAGTGAGCGAAAAGGCACAGCTGCATCGTCACCAAAAAGATCTTTACAATCTGTAAGTGATAAGTGAAAGTTGTTAAATTTCATTAATATATGGAATAGCATATTTTAATTTAATTTTCATTTAATTTAGGTTGTCCCCCTATTTATTTGGTCGCAAACGAGTCTGTGCGTCAGTCAACATACCGTAAAGGAGGACAATCACTGATCTAGAAAGATTATCTATAAATATATACGGACCTATGCTGTGCTAGGGCATGCGTCAAGTGTTATAATGTAATATTTATCTTCGGCACATCTACCATTATTCGGGCCAATCATGTTTAGTTGTGGGAATTTTTCATATCAAATTTGGGAGCCCAACCCATTTTCGAATTAATCATGCCTAAAAAGTCCCCTAGAAGCTGGCCTATGTCATACTGTTAAATAACTTAAAATTTTGTACGAGGGCGCCCACACGCAGTGTCTGGCTAATAAATACGCGAAATTTCCTCGGGTTTATTACGTACTCTGCCTAACTATAGTTAGACCTTATAGATAACATATTGATAAGAACGGAAAAGGCTTAACAATGCACGGAAAATACAGTAAGAAACCCAAAGGTGAACACAGTTTATAGAAGAAATACGGATCATTATTAGGAGATTTTCTTAATGAAGAAGGTTTCCAGTAGGCGAGGAAAAATTTGGAAATTACCTTGAACTGAGAGGCACTTGTTAAAATGTTGTTAGTAGCTCTATTTTTATTAACTTGGCGACTAAATCACGTTTTTTGAATTATTCCAACAGCCAAAGATGCGTCCCGCGGTCCGTTCTACAAATCTCCTGTCGCCACAGAGTTGTTATAAAACCCTTTTTCACTTAAATCTCTTTTTAGATGCATTAGTTCACTCTAGCGAGCCCACACTGTAATAAAAAGTGGGTTGGCTGTGCACTAAATGGAAGAGCCTCACTTCTTCGTATCTATGTACACACTTTACATTTAAGAATTAAACAAACAATGGGGCTTGGAGCAGGTTGATTAAGCGAGTTTGTAAATTGAGCCCGGTGGTTAAGTTTGCGGGATGATGTGTCACCCGAGAGGTCCGCCCCCAAACCCCGCATCGTGGAAGCGGGATCACGCGACAGCAATTAACAGATGCGAATCGAAGAAATCCGATCTCTTGGAGAACCCACCTGCACCACGAACTTGTACGGAAACTTCCGCTTGGCCTGCCACTTCTCGATGGGATTCATGAAGAAGAACTGCAGCTTCCGGCGCATCCGTTCTTCTTGGTATGATGCGGCTGAAGAACCTGGAAACTCTGGCTGCTCGACATGACCTTCCACGGAAGAGGGGGCACTAGTGTTGGGCATAGGCATGGGCATGGGCACCACTGGGGCCACCGGGGTGGACTGCAGCTGCACCTGCCGCCGCAAAACCCTTGTGTTTACGTACTCCTCGTCGCTCTCTGGCGACTGCGGGTGGTGCTGGGCAGCCTCGTAGCTGTCGGTACGGCGTTTTACGGCCGGAGCCGCGGCTGCTGCCGCCGCCGCCGCCGCCCCGGAGCCGTAGTTCTGCATCTCGATGTGCTCCTCCTTCGTCGCGAGGTCAAATTACCTGCGTTGTTGTTCTCCGTGCAAACTTTCTTTTGCGCTGTCGCTCAACATGCAAAAGAAAAATCCGCACAGGCGCAACAAGCAATCGGGAGGGGGTATAAATATAAATATAATTAGCGGTTATGGCGCGACTCTAGTCAGTGAAATTAAATTAAACAATGACCAAAACGCGAAAAGATACGATAATTGCTTTGTTTTCCAAAGAAATACGATAACACTGTTGCCAGTTTAGCTTGTTTCAAGCTATATCTGACGTATTTGAAAATGGAACAGCTTATAAGGGGTGCAACTAGCTCATATCCACTTGCGGATGGTTTTTGTCGTTTTATTTGGGGGTATATTCGCGGACTTACTTTGTATCTCAAAGATACAAAGCCAGCCAGATACCGGCAAGCCGCAGCTGCATCCGTGAATCTTTCGGATATTATATGGCGGAAAAACGGGAACAATTTGGGAACGCAACAGATCTTCTGAATTTGTATTTCAAAGATACAAAAGTATATATCGGATCAAAACGAATTGGTCACAATCGATGTTACTTAAGCGATTTTTCCACTATATCTAATTTAATTTAATTAATTAAATTTTAATTTTCAAATTGTGCTGTTCTCCGACCGAATCTGGCCATATGTTTCATTAAATTAATCAATAATAACTTGATTATCAGCATTCCTTTTTAAATATATCCTGTTTAATCTGTATATTATACAGGATCAAAGTGACACGAGTGGTTAAAACCTGGAAACACTGCTTTGCTTTGTTTTCCACCATCGCTAGAGTGAGAATATACCATCGCCAAGAAAAGTACCAAAAAATATACTAAAATAGAAAAGTCCTACTTTTCCCAGGCTTTTAATACGTTTTCAGTGTGCCCAGCTAAATTTACAGTCATCTGCCCATCGCTCTCGACTTTTGCGGGAAAATAGTAAATTTTCAAAAATCAATTCTCTGAAGTACGTGAAGGGGAACGTAAAATATTTTCTAAATTGGGAACACTTTTAATATCGAACTAATGGAATATTTTGAGAAATAACGATTTTATAATATTTGTAATTTACAACAAATTTCCCTATACAAAAAAAAATAATCAAATACGTAAATACTTACTTACTTTGTACTGCAAATCGAGTTAATATTATTTTCGGTCATTTATTATTACATTAGATAAGCATTAATGTTTTAAATAATGAGCCGATTTTTTTAAGGACTCTCTGAATTCTTATCGTTTACTCGACCGTTCTCTAAATATAAAATAGACATCAGTCATTGTATGTTGAAGCTGATATAAAATATACACATACAAAATATCGCACAACCTGAAGCATATCAATAAGGTAAAGAAAGACGTGTAACATTTTTCAATAGTTCTGGTGTGTATTTATATATGGCAAATTTAACAAATTTTCTTTTAAAAATATACATACATACATACATACAGCTAAAAAACACCACACATCGGGCGGGCGCCTTTTCTGGCACTTCTCTGCTCACAATTCTCGTTCAATGTGATTTAATTCATTAAAATTATGCTTTTAGTTATAGAGACTTAAAAATTACGTACAATCACGCGCACCTAATTATATACTAGCATTGATACACATTGATACATTACATTTTTCCACCCTCATTTTTTTCTTTTCCAATACATACATATATAAATTAACTAGTTTCTGTAATAAGCATAATTTGTTTTGTTTCTTTCTTTTTATATTTTTATTTGCTGCGCATCGCTTGTATTGAAAGCAAAAATTTCGTTTTCATTTACATAAAATATTTGATTTTGATTCTTCTTCGTCATATACATAAATATATGTGTGTGTGTGTTACATTTACAAACGTACAGTTAAATGTGTGGGTGTGTATATTTTATATAAAACAATTACTAGTCTGAAGACCTTGTGACTAGACGGTTTTTTCGGCTTCTCCAATATGTGTATGCATGTAGAGTTATCAAATATCTCCCATATGTGTATGCATTTAGAGTTAGGTTATTTATTTCTTGCGCTTCGGCTTTTGCATACATAGTATATCTTCCAAGTCGCAGGACCTATTTGGAGTTTTTTTATAAGGTAAGTTGGAGTTTCATAAATCATTTATAAAATCGCGCAATGGGAAAGCGAATCCTTTCAGAATAGGCCTCTTCCTTGCGCCTTTAAATGAAGGAAGAATCGCAAACACAGACACACAAATCGTTCGATCGATACAAACTACAATACATTTACATAAAATACAAAGATATAAGCCAAAGACGATCGTTTCCTGCTCGACACGGTTCCTGAGTAACTTTACCACCTCCTCCTCCTAGCCAGCTCTCTTGCTGGTTCACACGCTCCTCTTACATTATTTTAGTTATAACTCTGCTTCCTCGCTATTTTCTACACTATACTCTCACGATCCCGGGTGGCCGATGCCGCCGCCGCCATGTCAGTGAATCCGGTTCGTGCTCCCTGCACACCGCTGGGCAGGATTCCCACTCGCCTAGCCTCGCCACTGCGTACACCATTGCCCTTGAAAAAGTTGGACATCCAGTTGGTAAGTTTGCTGCTTCCCCCGGCTCTGTTTCTGTGCTGAGGATTGGAGGATGATCCGCTGAGAAAGTCCAGACCCCTGTCTCCAGGTTGGCGGTTTTCAATGTCGGCGGCGTAGCTCACGCTATTGCCGCCATGACCACCGGGTCCATCCATGTGCTCCAACGAATGCCAGCGCTTGTTGTGCGCCAGCATCTCCTCCGGAGGAACCGATAGCGATGCCTGCCGTTGGAGCAGCGGCGATTCCAGATCATCCTCTATGCTCACGCCGCCGTTGCAGTTGTTGTTCAGGTGCTTGCCACAGTTGGCTCTTCCGGAGCTACTGCTACCACCTCCTCCTCCTGCAGGAACAATGCTGACTTGGGCATTTGGAAAACTGCCCGAATACCGGAGCGTGGGCAGCTGTCCGTTGTCGCGGCGCATAAGTAGGCCCAGCTCATCGTCGTAGCCATCGTTGGCATCGACCGGATTGACGGACATCTCATCCTCCATATCCATATCATGACTCGTCGTCTCTGCTTCACCATTGGGATTACCACTGATTAGCGATACGCCGGTGTCCAGCGATCGCGAATTGTTCTTCGACAGCTTAGACGGCGGCAGCTTGACCCTGTCGTGCCGCTTCCGCAGGTGCTGCATGGGCATGGGGTCCAGGGAACGGGATTCGCGCAACAGCATCTCTGCGGTGGAGTCATCCTCGTGATCGCCCAGTTGCGGCAACTGGGCGGCACTGATTATCCGGTGCGGACGGACCATGGCCAATGGCTTGTGCAGCGCATTGGGTTGACGAACTAGTCCAGATCCAGACCCAGATCCTGATCCTGACACTCCTCCTCCCAATCCCCCATCCATATCACAGTTCGTTTCGTTTGTTTCGGAATGATTCAGTGTGCTGAGCGAAGCCTGGGCGGATTCGAGGAGTGCTCCGCCCACAAAGTGTCCTCCCAAGCCCAGACCATTGATGGAGGGTCGCTCCCGATCCCGGTCCCTTTTGCTGGTCATTCGTGGCGAGTCGCGCACAGACCCCTGCAGACTGTAGGTGGATTCCAGGTCCGCCGGCCTGGGCACACTGCTCTGACGCCGTGATCCGGTGCCACAGTAGTGCATGGCCTGAATGCTGGGGTGCCGCGAGTCTGGATTCAGTTTGGGACTTTTTCGCGGGCGACTGAACAGCGGAGGTGGCATGTCCATCATGTCCACCGGCTTCTTTTGTATCGCGTTCTCGTTGGCTCCGGTAAGCCACCAAGTGATCACCTCGCCCTTACCCTTCATGTTCACTAGGCCGCGTTTCTCGGTTATGTAGCCACCGCCTAGCTTGTCCAGCGCCAGCTTGCACTTATTCGAAATATGGATCTTCAGCGCTTCGCCGTTGCTCTCCATCCTCGATGCTGTGTTGACCGTGTCACCAAATAGACAGTATCTCGGCATTGTGAGGCCAACCACGCCGGCTACCACCGGACCCGTGTGCATCCCGATCCGCAGCTTCAAAGTCTCGTTGGGACGATGAGCAATGCGGTGCTGCTTCACTGCTTGAAGCAGCTCCAAAGCCATCGATGCTATCTCGCCGGCATGACGGTCCCCATTCTTAATGGGCAAACCCGAGACCTAAAGAAACAAGTGAGACAGTGAGGTTAATAAAAACCTATAACTATTTCTTTTTTACTATCCAGTAGTCGTTATACTTACCACCATATAGGCATCGCCTATCGTCTCCACCTTATAAACATCATAGCCGCGTATGATGCGGTCGAACACCGTGTAGAGATCATTCAAAAAGTTCACCACTTGCAGCGGTGTGCTCTCCGCCGACATTGCTGTGAAGCCAACAATGTCGCTAAAATAGATAGTAACCTGGAAAACAAAACAACAATTTATTTTAATTTTAATAAGTTAATTTAATTCTCTAATCCATTATGCTTACCAAATCATAGGACACCGGCTCTACTCCCTGACCCATGGTCAGTTTCTCTGCCACCGATTGCGGCAGCATTCGATGAAGGAGATCCTCCGTCTTCAGCTTCTCCTCGCACAGGAGACGCGTACGCTCGCTGACAATGTCCTCCAAGTTATTGGCGTACTTTTCCATCATTTCCATCATTTGGTCCATGATATTTTTGGTCTTACCGCCGCGCATCTTTTTCAAGCGATTACTGTGTAAAACAAATATTAAATGATTTGATTTCCTTATTGCATTCAATGAAATACCTACCGTATGACACTGAAATCGGGACGCTCTTCGGGCTCTTCCGACCAGCAGTCCTTGATGCAGGCCAGTACATAATCTGGGCAGGATTCGGCTTCTATGATGGACTCCACCTCCGGCCGAAAAGGATCCTCGCCCTTGAGCGGCAGCTTCTTAACGTAGTCTACAATTTCCTTTGGTTCAAAGTTGGTTTGTCCGAAGGGACCCTTACGACTAAATATCTCGTACATAATGATGGCAAAGGCGTAGACATCGCCCTTCTGGCTGCCGTGGATATGGTTGCGCAATAGTTCCGGAGCACGCCACAGTTGATCTAGAAGGTAATATCATAAATATTGTTTCCATACAAGATAAACAGAAAAACTAACTTCGATAATGCTGATGCTCTCCAATGGACTCGTTCTCGGCACACTGGCGTAACTCATGCAACCCGAAATCTGTAACTTGGAGCATCCAGCGTGAGGTGACCACACAGTTCGATGATTTAAG